ATATAAACATTTGAGGAAACTTTTGGTATTTCAAATATAGTTTTGTGTCACATGGACATAGTGTGCTGTTGTATTAGTCCATTCTCACACTGCTATAAAGAACCACCCGAGACTGTGTAATTTATGAAGAAAAGAGGTTTAATTGACTCATAGTTCCATAGGCTGTACACAAAGCATGGTTAGGGAGGCCTCAGGAAACTTCCAATCATGGTGCTTCGAAGGGTGAAGAGGAAGCAAGCACCTTTTTCACATGGTAGAGTGGGAGAAAGGGAGAGTGAAGGGGGAAGTGCTACACACTTTCAAACAACAGTTGTTGTGATAACTCACTTATTATTATGAGAACAGCAAGGGGTAAATCCACTGCTGTGATCCAATCACCTCCCACCAGGTCCCACCCCCAACATTAGGGATTGCAATTCCATGTGATATTTGGGTGGGGACACGGAACCAAATCATATCAGCTGTTGTTGTTTCATAGTTGTATAAATTTGGAAGTTATTGGTGAAATACAACTTCTGTCCCTTCTCCTTGAAACAGCACTACCTCTGTCTGCCACCCACAGCTTCTTACATAAGAGCTGTCTTCCCTTCTCTACATTTATTCATTCTAGATGATTTGGGTTAGGATGCTCAGGTCAATGACTAGCCCCATTCCAGAACCCTTTTATTGACTAGCTCATCTAGGCATTTAATGTTTTGTATGTTTCAAAAGTGTTTCTGATGAAACTGCTCAAGAAACTATATTTAGAATTAGCATCTTGGATCTTACAGGCTGGTGATCTCATTAATGTAACCTTAGTCAAGGCTCTTTAGATTTCAATCAACAGAATGAACCTTAGGCTTCAAAACGAAAATCATCATGAGGCAACAAGGTATTAATACATTCTTTGTTCTAGAACAAAATAATAGAGTACCAATATTCATGGAACTAACATTTTTAGGATGTCATAGTATTTGTCAGCTTACATATAAGGGCAGCTTACATTCAATAATGCTTACCATGAATTAGACACTAGGCTTAGTGCTTTACACCCATTAATTTATTTTATCCCCCAAACAACGACAAACGAAGTACTATTTTTATTGTCCACATTTAGAAGAGGAAGAAATGAAGACACAGAGTGATTAAGTAACTTGTGTGAAGTAACATTGCTGATAGGTACTATAATGGACTTGGATCCAAGTGGTTTGGGTCCAGAATCGGTGCATTTAACCACCTCCAGTTGCCTCTAGTGTATCGTGAAAAAACAAGTACAGGAAATACAAGCAGGAATAACAAGGCTTGAATCCAGGAACTTGGAAGTTGTCAGGAACCGGGGCTGTATTCTCTTGGGCTTATTTCCTCGTAGTTGTGTAGTTTATTTCCTCTCACAGCTTTACTCACTTCTCTCTGTCTCTGCAGGTTAGCATTATCAGCTGCTTCTTGAACACAGGTAAAGATGGTCACCTCTCTGTGGCAGCCTCAGCTCTTACCTGTACATCAAGACTATTCTAGCAACAAATTGGGAGCTTGAGTCCCCATTTTCAATTCTCAAAGGATAAACAGCCCAGTTGGCCCAAATGGTCTCAGGTGTCTGTCTACTGTTTGTCTAATCAGCCACGGTGAGACAGGTAGGGGCTTTGTATAATATAAACAAGGCCATGGGGGCCCAACACTGTGGGTAGAATCATTTCCAGTTAAGGGGTGATGTGGGTGAGGCATATCAAAAATATCTCCCGCAGCTACCTCAATCCAGGTATTATGTAATGAGAAGATCATTGATGACACTAATCCGGAATAGGTACAATTTTGGGGAAGACATGTTGAAACCTCAACCCCCAATGTTACTGTTTTTGAAAATGGGGCCTTTAAGGAGGTAGTTAAGGTTAAATTAGGCTATAGTATGAAGTTCTAATTCAATATAACAGGTGTTGTTATAAGAAGAGAGAGAAAAACCATGTATGTGCTCATACAGGGAAAAGCCTATTTGAGGATGCAGAGAAAAAATGGAAGCCAAAGACAGAGACCTTAGGAGAACCTGAACTTGCTGACACCTTGATCTTGGACTTGCAGCCTTCAGAACTGTGAGAAACAAATTTTTGTTGTTTAAGTCACCCATTCTGTGGTATTTAATCAAATCCCTAGTAAACGAATACATAAAGTAACCTCCGTGTGCCCCTACTTATAATACATGGTTTGCAAAGTGTACTGCAAATGATACTTGTATTAGTTCATTTTCACCCTGCTATGAAGAACTATCTGTGACTGGGTAATTTATAAGGGAAAGTGGTTTAATTGACTCACAGTTCTGCATGGCTGGGGAAGCCTCAGGAAACTTACAATCATGGCAGAAGGGGTAGCAAACACATCCTTCTTCACATGACGGCAGGGGAGAGAAGTGGGCAAAAGCCTCTTATAAAACCATCAGCTCTCCTGAGAACTCACTCACTATCATGAGAACAGCATGGGGGAACTGCCCCATGATCTAATCATCCCTCACAAGATTCCTCCCCTGACATGTGGGGATTACAATTCAAGATGAGATTTGGGTGGGGACACACAGCCAGACCGTATCAATACTCTTTGTAGGTTTCTCCAAATCTAAGCTCAGATGATTCTGCTTGATTATGGTATTGTGTTTGTATAATGTGTGTTGGCCACATTGATTAAAAGTAAAACATATCTTTGAGAGTTATGAGACAATTTCAGGTAAAATCTATTTTGTTGGCTTTAACTCATTTTGTCTATTTTGTTAAGACACAAAAAACGAAGATTCAGTGATGTGACTTAACTTTTTTTTTTTTTTTGAGATGGAGTCTCGTTCTGTCACCAAGGCTGGAGTGCAGTGGCACAATCTCAGCTCATTGCAACCTCTGCCTCCCGGGTTCAAATGATTCTCCTGCGTCAGCCTCCTGAGTAGCTGGGATTACAGGTGCCCACCACCAAACCCGGTTAATTTTTGTATTTTTAGTAGCGACGAAGTTTCGCCATGCTGGCTAGGCTAGTCTCGAACTCCTGACCTCACGTGATCTGCTCACCTTGGCATCCCAAAGTGCTGGGATTACAGGCTTGAGTCAGCGCCCCCGCCCTGACTTCACTACATTTTTTTGGGATGCCATATCTGTTGACCAAGAGCACACCATAGCTGACAAACAGCTGCTATGAATTTGATAACATATTTAAGCATTTCTTGATCAAAATGAACTAAAAAAACAAAACAAAACAAAAACTGATTTTTTAACCCTTTGGTGCCAGTTGTGTCCTGTGATGTTTATTTGGTTAATATCACTTTGAAAAATAAAGCCTCTATAATAGAATCCAATTCTCTAAATATCATTGAACCAGGGAGGAAAAGCTGTGGACTATCAGTTTTTATTAATGTAGCTCAGGATTACATTAGCTCTTTTGGTAGACATTTCTCCTGCGGTTGATCTGATTATCACTTCTTCAGAAAGTTTCTCTTTTATGTCTTTCCATAGAAACCTATGCAGTATTCTATTACACAGAGCTTTGTAGTCATTTATTAGTCTTTTTCTCTCACATGGCTCTGAGCAATTTGAAAGCAAGGTCTATGTTTATTTATTTTCACTGCACCTTCAGTGTATAAAACAATGTCTGGATCCTGGAAATATCCAGCATACATTTACTGAATTATATGAATGAATAGAATTGTTTTAAAAGTTAAAATGTTAACAAATAAATAGTTATTATTATGCCTCTGCATGCGTATGCGGCAATTTTATGGCTGTTCTGAATTATCTTAAACTCTGTCCGGTGGAGTGTATTCTTGAGGAACAATTTCAAATAAGCAGCTTGAAATTGCAAATGCATAGGAGGTCTTTAGAAGAATTATTTTATGTTCAAACCAATATGAGATAGTTTTATGTCTCAGTGTTGGATAGACAAAAATATTCGAATAATTCGACTCTATCAAATTTATGTGCTAATTATTTATGACTCTGCCTGTTGCGGGGGAGGGGTAAGGAGGGACGGAAGGAGAGAAAGGTGGAGAGAGAAAAAGAGACACAGAGGGGGATATGAACGGAGAAGGGCAAGTGAGGAAAGGGTGAGAAGAAAGATGAAAATTTAAAAAAAGGTTAGGTCCCTTTGAAGGGCTAATAGAGGAGACCAACTGGTAAATGGAGTATAGAGCACAGAATTATTACATTAAGGAACGCTTGTTATTAAACATTATCTAGCTCTTCTTCACGTAGCCAGGAAAGCTTTCACACATCAGGTAATACTTGAGTTTAGCCTCAAAGAAGGAAGGGGAAGTGGTCTTTTTGGCGGAGAAGAAGGGCAATTTACATGACTAATTTGTTACTTCTTAGTTTTTCCAAAGTTCAGTTTTTTTATTGAAGTTTTCATTCTCTTCGTGACTGAAACCAACTCCCCTGAGTGGAAAACATTTCTTTTATGTTCTAGAGTGAGGGAATGATACCTAGACTGAAGTAGCAGCAGTAATGAGCTGACAGCCTCACATCTACTTTCGGTGTGCTGGGAATGAGCCATAGGATCTTAGGCAAGTCCCTTCCTCTTTCCAGGCCAAACAGGTTGGACTACATAATCTTCTCTGTTCCCGTCCGGTTCTAAGAATTTGTGAGTCTTTGGAACAATATACTGGACGCTGGTATTAAGGGGATTTTTACATTTCAGTGCTAGAAATTGTCCTTCCCTGTCCTCCCACCGCTCCCTTGCCCTTTTTCTACCACTTCCCCATCTTACCGTAGTCCTCGGGGACTCCTTTTGTTCCCCAGGGAGTAAAATTACAGTCAAGGTTAAGGAAGCATTTTTATTCACTTTCTATCTGGAGTTTGCCTCCTACAAAGGAGGCTCGACCTTTAAAAAAAAAAAATAGAGCAGGGCAAGAGGGCGCGGCCGAGGGATCAGGCTTCTTTTCCGGGAAAGTTACCCGAAGGCCAGCTGTATGTCATCCTGGGATTTGTAGTTCCTTTTCCGGACCCTCTCCCTTGGTAACTCCTTGATGGTGAGGCCGAGATGGACTACAACTCCCAGAGGGCCAAGCGGCGGCAGCGGGGTCCTGTACTCTCGCTGTGGCTGGGCGGCTAGTTCAAGTTGCCATAGCTGCGAGTCTGGGGAGAGCAGAGTCGGTTGAGTCGCTGCGTTTGGTCAGTTGCACCTTCTGGGTCACTGGTAGCCGCGGGAGCCGGGTGGGGCCTAGGCGATGATCCGGCATTAAGGAGCTGGGGTCATCCTCCGTCTCAGGTACCTGCACCCACCTCCCCCTTGCCCTTTTTCGAACACTTCCCCGTCTTACTGTAGACGTTTTAGTCCCGCTTCCCCTCGTCCCAGGGGTGGGGACCTCGGAGCGGCGCGGGATCTGGGGTGGGGCCGTGGATGGGTGGAGTGTGTGCAGAAGTGAGGGGAGACGGCGCGCCTGTCATCCCGAGGCCTCCCTCCCTGGGCAGGGGTGTCCGCGGTCAGGTCCTGGCCAGGTTATCCAGGGTATCTGGACTGCATTGTCCTTCCTTTGGGAGCAGCTTGCTCTACCGCTAGCATCTGTGAAGCTTTAAGGGACAGGAGATTGGACTCATTCGGTAGGTCCTTCAGAGAACCGTCTGACATTTGCTTGCCTGTCCTGCTATAGAACTTAATTTTTTTTTTTTTTAAATACCTGTTTTGTAGTCACAAAAAGCTTGCTACTCTCGGGAACGCTGGATTAGTGAGCTCTTTTTCCCGTGCCATCATGGGAATTGCCCCAGCCTTAGCTGTTAGCTGTGCCTTAATTGAATTATTTCGTAAAAAATACCTGACATTGAATCCCAGCTGCATCTTTTATTGGTTTGATGGAGCCAATCTGTTATGTAGGCGTCTGGTAAAACTCTGCCATTAATTGCAGCACTGATTTGAGTATTATGTAAAGTATCTAGCACAGTGCCTGGCACCCTGCAAGTGCTCAGCATTTGTTGTTTATTATTATTAATGATGCAGATTAGTGTTGTCTAATACAAATATGGTGTGAGCCACACAGGTGAATTTAAATTTTTAGTACCAACATTAAAAAAGTAAAAAGAAACTGGTGAAATTAATTTTAATGGTTTATTTAGCACAATATAGAAAAATGTTTTCAATGGAGTAGTATAAAACTTACTGAGATTTTTACTTTTTTTTTTTTTTTTTTTTTTGAGACGTAATCTGGCTCTGTTGCCCAGGCTAGACTGTAGTGGCGCGGTCTGGGCTCACCGCAACCTCCATCTCCTGGGTTCAAGCGATTCTCCTGTCTCAGCCTGCGGAGTAGCTGGCCACCATGCCTGTCTATACGTTAAAAAAAAAAAAATACTTTAAGTCTTCAAAATCTGGTGTGTATTTTACGTGTATAGCATATGTCAGTTTGACCTGGCTGGAGCTAGAGCTCAGTAGCCATGTGTCTAGTGACTACTGTACTGGACAGCACAGAGATAAGGTTAAAACTTCAGCAGTTTCACATTGGCATACATAAATTTGGTTGTGCCTATGACTCATGGGTTATGGTGGCTGTTTTGTTAGAAGAGTGAAGTGTGCAGTGTACCTGTGTTCTCTCAGCATATCTTGTCTGCCATTGCATAACCTAGGTCTCTTTGAACTGTTTCTTGACAGTTTTATTTTGATTAGCTTTTTCAGAATACCTTTTTTTTTTTCTTGAAATGGTTTATAGATGTATTCCCAGATCTACCTTTTATGTGGACAACTCCCAGTTCTGTGGATCACTTCCTGTGGATTCCTAGAGATTGCTTCGAAAGCAGTCACAAATAATTGAAAAAGTTTCTATCCATAGCTCTTTCCTACAACCAAAGGCATTTTACTTTTATTTATTTAATTGTAGCACTGAGTATGGGAAGAACTGGACAGCTTATAAAATATTTCCTTTAGGAGTGTTAGACTGGCTTAGAAGTACCATTGGGTCACCACACTCAGAAGTAACATGTTAACTGTATTACCTGACTTAGTTACCAACTTTTAGACATGCTCATGGCGTCGTACTTTTGGCTAGACTTGGGCTGCGGTTCACACTGGAGCACGAACTCTCTGGCAAGCCCCAGGGATGACCAGGCATGGATGGAAATCACCAGTGACAATATGTTGGCTGGGCACTTGGATGTGAAGAATTGTAGTGAGGTCACTTGGGCTTTTGAATGATTCTAGGAGCATTTTCTCTGTTCTGCGTTATGCCATAGTCTGTACATAGGGACCTAATTTTCATATTTCATTATTTAAAAATGTTTAAAGTTGTAGGTATGTCTTACCCCTTGTTTCGTTTATTTGTAGGTGGTTTGGGGAAAGTCTAGGGGCAACCAAAGATCATCTGCTTGACTAGGCCCTTTGCCCTGAACCTCATGAAGAAATGATAGGAGGAAGACATATGTACCTAAAAAGAGCTTTGAGCTCAGAGAAGAGCAACTCGGAGCTTTGGGGGTGTGCTTTGTAAGTATGCTTTCTCCCTGCATTTCGGAGATAACACATATTTTTGCATATTTATGGTGGAAAAGACTGTGCCAACAAATAGAGTTTTGGAAACAAGAAGCCCCTTTCTAATATATAGTATAAAAAAGTATAGATTGGTTGGTTGTGTATACAATGTTACAAACATTCAGATGAACAAACTAGTTAAGTTGAGATGTCCTTAACCTTAATAAAAGCAACAGTGATGCAGCTGTTTCTATTAAACAAGAAAATGAGAACCTATTTTGTCTCAGGCACTCTGTCAGGCACCTTTTACAGGCATTATATAATTCCTTTATCATGCTTTTACAAAGGAGGCAGTTGAGTCGCAGGTTATTTGATTTGTTTGGGATTCTGGAGCCAAAAGAGTGGTCATTGTTTCCAGGTCTTCTGACTCCAAATTTCAGTCCCACCCACTGCCAAGGGGCTTCATTGCTGTTTATAAGTGCCCTCTAATAGAGTTTGATTCATATTCAACATTTTTGGGTTAAGTGTACCATATATGGCAGAGTGTGTAGTTATTCATCTCTTTCAATGTTCAAAAAGTTATATTATCTTAGTTTTTTTTTTATTATAGTAGTCCTTATATTATTATTGAGGTAAGAGATCATTATAATTTGTGATTTCCATAAATAAATTCAACATGAATTATAATTGATAATTAAGGGTGTAATGTTAAAAGTTTAAATTTACAACATAGATATAAAAATTCTGGACCTTCTTTTGGATTTCATATTGTGCTTCAATAAAAGGTTCTGAAACGTAGAGGGGAGACACACTGTGGCCTTGCAATACCAACACTGTGTGGTGGGGCGTGGTGGCTCACACCTGTAATCCCAGCACTTTGGGAGGCTGAGGCAGGCGGATCATGAGGTCAGAAGATCGAGACCATCCTGGCTAACACAATGAAACCCCGTCTCTACCAAAAATATGAAAAAATTAGCTGGGTGTGGTGGTGGGCGCCTGTAGTCCCAGCTACTTGGGAGGCTGAGGCAGGAGAATTGCGTGAACCTGGGAGATGGAGCTTTGCATACCACTGCACTCCAGCCTGGGCAACAGAGCGAGACTCCATCTCAAAAAAAAAAAAAGAATACTACACACTGTGTATAAGATCAATGGTGTACAAACTTTATAGGATTAGGCCAGGTGCATTGACTCATGCCTGTAATCCCACACTTCGGGAGACCAAGGCAGGAGGATCACTTGAGCCTAGGAATTTGAGAATACCCTGGGCAACATAGCAAGACCCCCTTCTCTACCAAAAAAAAAAAAAAAAAAAAAAAATTAGCCAAGCATGGTGGCTTGCGCCTTTGGTCCCTACTACTCAGGAGGCTGAGGTGGAATGATTACTCGAGCCCAGCAGGTTGAGGCTGCAGTGAGCTGTGATCACACTACTACACTCCAGCCTGGGTGACAGAGTAAGATGCTGTCTCAAAAAAAAAAAAAAATTAGGATTAAATAATTTTAGAGCTGGATGGGGGGCCTATTAGGATAATTTGGTCCAGAAATTTTGGAAATAATATAAAAGTAATCTAGATTTATTAGATTATTAAAAACTGTATTAGCATGTATATTATAGAATACACTATCCATGTAATGTCTCTGGGTTGAATCTGATATGAAGTAGTTTCAATACATTCATACTGTCATATAGTGTGTTCTTCTTTTTTGTAACAACATAGTGTTACAGGTCAGCACTTAGGATTCAACCTTGTCTCTTTTAACAGATACATAGTATCCCAGTGATTAGATGCATTTAATGTATTCTTATCCAGTGGATTTATATTTTTTTCTTACTCTTTTACAAGTATAAAAAAATTCATTCACTCTATTGCCCAGAGTGGAGTGAATGAATGTGCTCATGGATGGATGGATGAGTGAATTAAAATTTCTGAAGAATTTCTACAGTGAAATTCTTATGCATATGTCTATATGTAAAATATATCTATATAAACATCTTCTTTTATCTTCCTAGGATAATAGTCATAGAAACAGATTTTCTGGGTCAACATCTATGTATATTACGGATTGATTGATTGAGACAGGGTCTCACTCTGTCACCCAGGCTGTAGTGCAGTGGTGCGATCTTGGCTCACTGCAGCTTCTACGTCCCAGGCTTGAGAAATCCTCTCACGTCAGCCTCCCGAGTAGTTAGGACTACAGGTGTGCACTACCACACCTGGCTAATTTTGTTTTATTTTTTTGTAGAGACAAGGTCTCACTATGTTGCCGAGGCGCATCTCGAACTCTTGGGCTCAGGCAGTCCTCCTACCTTGGCCTCCCAAAATACTGTGATTACAGGCATGAGCCACTGCGCCTGGCTTGTATTATTTATTTTTACTTGTATTGCCAGGTTTTTCTCCAGAAAAGCTAATGTAGCTTTTTTTTTTAAAAATTTTTAATTTTTGTGGGTACATAGTAGATATACATGTTAATATAGTTTTTTATAGTTAATACTCTTACAACAAGGTATAACTTTGCTAACCCTGTGAGAGGTTTTTTTCATCTGTATAAAACAGATAGACAAGAATATCATTTTATTATTTTAATTTGCAATTATTTAGTGAAATAACAAATAGCATTTGTTAAGGTCATTTGATTTCTGTGAATTGTCTGTTTATATATCTTTTGAGTCTTTTACAACCGGACTGTTCTTTTTCTTGTGTTTTTGAAAGAGCTGATTAACCCTTTGGTTCCCATATAACGCAACTATTTTTGTGAGTTTTTCTTTTAGTTTTTAAATCTTGTTTCTGGTATCTTGTTATCACTAATTATGAATGACCCTAAGAGGCTTATCAGGCCTTTATCAGATATGTACACCTCTCTGAAATTTCTATAATGCTGGTGCTTGGAGTATTTGGGAGATGGGAATATTTGTGGTTACATGAATCCATTTAATTCATTCTGATAAAGACCTTCCTTCCTTCCTTCCTTCCTTCCTTCCTTCCTTCCTTCCTTCCTTCCTTCCTTCCTTCCTTCCTTCCTTCCTTCCTTCCTTCCTTCCTTCCTTCCTTCCTTCCTTCCTTCCTTCCTTCCTTCCTTCCACTCCAGCACTCATGCTGGAGTGCAGTGGTGTGATCTTGGCTCACTGCAGCCTCGACCTCCTGGGTTCGAGTGATCCTCCCACCTTGGCCTGTCGAAGTGTTGTGATTGCAGGCATGAGCCACTGTGCCTGGCTTGATAAACATTTAGAATCTACTCTGCCAACAGGGTTTGCTATGAAACAGGTGCTTGTGAATGGATGAATAAGTGCTTGTGAATGAATGTGCTCATGGATGAATGGATGAGCTTTAATTCTCTGCTTCCAGGCACTGGTCCATTTGATTCTGCCTCCTGCTCTGAGGTGCTGGACCAGGGTGGACTCCTGATGAAATCAGAGCAAAAAAAATACTTTCTACTTTTTTGAGTTTGGGCAAGTTAACTTTTGGAAGCTGTTTCCTTACCTGTGATATTGGTTACAGCTATGTTTACTCTACAGGGCTGTTGTTGGGGTTAAATTAGTTAATACAAGTAAAGTGCTTAGAACAGGACCTGGCACAGAAACGGGCCATTTAATTGTTGAGTTATTAATATTATTGCTTCTACCATGATGACTGCCACCACCACTACCATCATTATTGTATTCTTTAAAAACGATTAATTTCTGTTTCACTTAAGCTAGCTCATGTGTGTTCTGTTTTTTTGGGGGAACTCACAGCCTTAATTACAACAATCAGTACTATCAGTACTTTATTCTTTTTTTTTTTTTTTTTTTTTGTAGACAGAGTCTCACTGTGTCACCCAGACTGGAGTACAGTGGTGCAATCTCGGCTCACTGCAACCTCTACTTTCTGGGTTCAAACAATTCTCCTGCCTCAGCCTCCCAAATGGCAGGGATTATAGGTGCTCAGCACCACACCCAGCTAATTTGTGTAGTTTTAGTAGAGACGGGTTTCACCATGCTGGCCAGGCTGGTCTCGAACTCCTAACTTCAAGTGATCCACCCACCTCGGCCTCCCAAAGTGATGGGATTACAGGCATGAGCCACTGTGCCCACCCAAGCCCTTTGTTCTTATCAGCTTATTTTGCTTTTAGGGAAGAGTACCTTTACTCACTGGTACACCTGGTTTTTTTGTTTTTGTTTTTTTGCCTTTTCACCACTGCCATTTACATGTAACAAGTGTATTGATTTAAAAGTTGAGTTTTGGAAATAGTCTTCTTGCCTGGATTTGAATCCTGGCTCTGCCACTTAAGTTACTTTGCTTCTTTAAGCCTTAGTTCTCTTTTCTATAAAATGGGGATGATAATAATAGTGTTATGAGGATTAAATGAGAGAGCATATGTAAAGCACTTAGTACAGAAATTAGTCCATAGAAAACCATAAATCAATAGCTATTATTATTTAAATAAAGTTGAACATTATTATGCCTTTGTATAAATGTAAGCAAGTAATATATCATAGTCTCATAATTTTACAGAAAAGCAAACTAAAACAAATTTTCTTTTCTGTCTTGGTTTATATATGTTTCCAGTTGTGGGGTCTCCTAGTTATTTAGAAGGTTGCTTTAAGGTGTGGTTTGAATCCAGGCTTTTCTAGCTGCTTAACTACTGGGAGCCTTAGTAGTTCTTCATTTGCAAAAAAGGGACTACTTTGTTCATTTAAGAAGTAAATATTGAATGTGCCAAACACTAAGACACTATTCTGGAGCCTGGGAATAGATAAACAAGAGCTAGTATATGCCTTTGGGGAGGTTAGAAATCCTCTTTGTAAGGTTGGCCTGAGGTTAAGCCAAGCTTTGCAGAGGTACTTGACTGTATGCAAAGTACCTTTCATACCGAGGTGCTCAGGAAATGGTGATTCTCGCGTTTGTACCTCTGATGTTCTGATTTCCAGCTATGTGCGCCAATCGTTAAATCCAGTATGTTTCTACTTTATCGATGTTTTAAAAAACATTTCCTATCGATACCTTTAATTTTAAGGTCTTCTCAATAAACTTTTGCTA